GGGACAGATAGAGACAGAGAGAGAGAGAGAGAGAGAGTTGTCTATCTTAAAGTTGTCGTTGGTCCAGATGGAGCTCATTCATATCAAATCATATCTTTTTGTGTGTAAAATCATAATTTGAAAAGAAACTAGTAACTAAAGCTCTTAAATGATCTTTTTTCTTTTTCCATCTATAAACCTAAAAATAACACTCTTGTCCAAATACTCAACAACATGATACATGGGCACAAAATAAAACACAATAAAACAAATTGCAGGATAAAAACAAGTTACGAGTTATTTACTGTTTTCTTAATAGATAAGATGTTCCTTTATTGATCCCTGTAGGAGAAATTCAAATCAGACAACATTATCAAGACCTATTGGGACACAACCTGTGCAATATGCAGTAAAATGGTGTGTAAGACATCTTGAGCAGCGTGTGACTAAAAAACTAAACTGCATGTGCAAATGTGACGCGTGCCTACGTCGGCGCGTAATAACCGATTTCAACCAATGATATCGTGACATTCACCCGTCAATCATTCTTCAACTGTCAGCATAGGATGGAGCCCTCCTGAATGAGTGACATATTTTATGGATATTCTATATTATATTCAAAACTGTGCAATGAACCCAAACAGTGAACTCAGTAACTGCAGGAGGTTTGTGTGAAACCAGTGATTTGGATGAATTTTGAGCAGATTTTTATACAATTCTTTGTCTTAATTATGTATTTTCTATTATTTTGAACTGTCATACATTCTTAATAGGTTTCTTTTCAGCGTTTTCTTCTCCCTGATACTTTTATGAGTACCGTTGTACCGTTGTACTGTTTGGGGCGGCAGTAGCTCGGTCTGTAGGGACTTGACCTGGCAACCGGAGGATCACAGGCTCAGGTCCAGCTCAGACCACAGGAATGTGAAGTGGCAGCTGGAGAGGTGCCGGTTCCACCTCCTGGGCACTGCCGAGGTGCCCTTGAGCAAGGTACCACCATCTCTCCACATTTGCTTATAAGCCCTGTGTGTGTGTGTGTGTGATTGTATTTCAGGTCTATGTGTGTAAACGTTGAGTGACAATGTTTTTCTTATAGTAAATTGTTATTATTATTACAGTTTACTTCACAATATACTTTTCTACACAGAAATGAATGAAATGCTGAGATGTCGGCCTACTGTGTATATTTTTTATGTCTTCTTAAACCCTTTAAATGAAGAAGGCCTTGCGACCCCCCCGTGAAGCCTTGGCGACCCTTAGTGGGGTTCCCGACCCCCAGGTTTGGCACCACTGGACAACGCACGGGTGGAAGATCTTTTAAAAGTAGTAAAGAAACTTGTAAATCTTACTTTGGTAAAAAAAAAAATACAAAAATATTGGCATCAATATACTTAAAGTGTCTCAATGAAAGGTATAAGGTCATTTCAGTTAGCAACTAAATATCAAAAGTAAAATTTGGAAGCTTTACTTAAAGTTGTCGTTGGTCAAGATGGAGCTAATTCATATCAAATCATATTTTTTGTGTGTAAAATCATAATTGGAAAATAAACTAGTAACATAAGCTCTTAAAGGATAAAACCAAGTTACAATCACTTGTTTCAGTTTCAGTGATAATTCAGTGAAGTAATATATTGTTCCTTTTTCTGTCAAAGAGGGACAGAAGAGAAAAACTCCCAGCTGAAGCAGTTTCAGGGTGAAATGTCAGAAAAGATCAAAATAGACTTTTGCATAATGTTTATTTGTATCTGTGGTACAGGACTGAGTTTACACTGACATTTAGGTACAGGAGTATATGTATACAGCGTGGAAGTGTACATTGTCAACATAATGAGTCAGTCTGCTGGTAGTGGATTTTTACTATATGAATTACTTAAATTATGAATTATATATATAAACAGATGTCATATTAGTGTGACTTTTTGACAGTTTTAAGGTTTAATTTCATACATATTGCCTGTTAGTTGGTCTTGTTTTTCATCTCTTATGATTGTCTTTGTATTAAATGATCAATTATATTAGTTTATTATGGCTGCTGTCATTTAATATCTGACAGAAATATAAGTAAAAGAATACATAAGTAAATACAACTGCAAGAAAATGCATATTCATACAGTTACTTAGCTTAAATGTAGAGGGATTTATTTTTATAAAATAAGACATACAGTAGTTAAAAAGCCACTGCAATCAAATGAATTAAAGTATTTTAGGATCATAATATTTAGTAAAAAGAGATCATTTCTTCTATGTTTTACTGAAATGATGCTGTAATGGTGGATTATCTGTCATATAAACTGGTCTGTTTATTGATTACGTCATCAGCTGATCAATCAGTCTGCATATGGTGGAAAGTCTTTCACACAAAGTAAGTTAAACCTTCCTGAGAAGGTTTGGTGGCTCCAGTGGGAATAAATCCAGGCGATGAGCTACAGATAATAAATCACAGCAAGCAGAGACATCAGCGCATTCATGGAGAAATGTTTCAGCGTCGGTGAAGACGATTTAAGTCGAGGTCTGGTGTAGATGTACGGATGCTCCTGGGGAAATGGAAAGAAAAATATGTTAAGGGAAACTTTATTTTCAACATACACAAACAGGCAACTCCTCAGCGTGTCAGTCGTGTGGTACCTTCGTGGGGCAGATGAGTTTTATTGGCTTTGAAAATGTCTCTATCATCTCTTTCTCTCCCTCAGGCTGGAACTGAGGAAACATTTGAACGTCAGTGTCAAAATAAAACTTTATGAAGATGAACAATCTGAGTTTTCAGCCTTTTCTGATGTTTGAATTCAGTGATATTAAATTATTATTAAATTATTATTTAATTACATTTATATTTTGCTAGGTATCTTTAAATGACTTTTTTCTTTAATCTATTGATACAAATATTAATATATTAGTCTTAACAGCCTGCTGTGACCCCATATGTAGGCTTAGACCCTAATCTTATCTAAACCAAACCTTTAACCAACTGAAATCATCTTTAACGCCTATCTGAACGTAATCAGTACAACTTAAAGCCATAAAACTTCACCATGTTGTTCCACAGTCCCTTTGCCAGCTCCTCGTGACCTTTAACAGTGAAGTGGAAACAATCTGCTGTGAAGAAGCTCAAGTCAAGCGTCCCGTTCTGAGGTTACAGTAAGAGGGAGAACATAAATTACTAATAAATAATGATAAAAGTGTTAAACTGTCTGTGTGTGTGTGTGTGTGTGTGTGTGTGACACTTACAGGAAGTCTTGGTGGCCCTGCGTTCTCTAAATAAGGTTGCAGAACAACAGCAAAGTCCTTTTTGAAGAAACGGTCGCTGTGCAGAAGCTTCTCTAATCTTCTCTATAAAGAAGGGAAGTTAGAAAAGACAACACATCAAGACTTTCACTGCCTCACGTCAGCATTATGAACAGTGAATAATAATGACAGTTCCGGATTTTTTAAACTCTTTCCAGCCTCTTTCACAACAGACATTGTGACCTGATACAGTAGGAGGAGTAAATAATAAAATGGATGAATTCCATTTAGCTGCTTCAGTTCTCAGAGTCTCACACTTATGTCCAGGCAATAATATATCACTTTATTTAACAAGCTTTAGCAGAGCATAACTGCAAAAAAACTACCTGTACTTTTTCAGTATTTATCCTGATGATATATTACCTCTTTTGAAGGTTAAGCGTCCACATGAAGACGGCTAAACATACTTTTTTCTCTATATTGTCAGCGTTTTTCTCTCTGAAAAGGTCGGCTTTGAGTTTGAATGTGAACGGAAAATTATGACATAAATTTGCACAATCATGGTTGGGGCTGTTTGGAAGTAAAGTTATGAGGACAACGTCTGTCCCTCTTTACTTTTCTCTGCAGTCGCTCATTTTGAAAGTCAGTAAATCACACAATACAAGTGTTGTCAGGTGACTTTTCATTTATAAAATATCAGTACAGAAATTACTGTTCGCTCATTTAACAGGTAACATTTATGATTCCTGATCAAAGTGCCGTTTCACATTCATTCTGACAACAGAAACAGTAAATATGTAAATGAGAACAATGAAATCACGAGTTTTACTTGAATAAAACCGACAGAACAGGACAAAAAAGATTTAAATCCGTTTTGTTCAGGCATTTTAATCTGTTTGGAGATTTTTGATGATCTTGATGATAATGATCTTGTTCAGTCCTCTGTGTTGTGAACTCACCTGGAACTCGTAATTAATCTCGACCACCTCCTCCAGCTCAGTGGAGTTTTCTTCAGGTTGAACGAGGCAAGAGCAGAAACTCCTGTGAGCAGATTAGACACTATTGGATTATCAGGTTATCAGATTAACAGATTATCAGTTATCAGTTATCTCATATTATAGGCAGATGGAATATGAACCTCCTGTTTACTCACTGCACTGCATCATTCACCACTTCACATACTACAGTATATCATTAAGAATTAGTTACTCTCTCTTTAAAGAGTTGATTTCCTGGTATTTTTAGGTTAGTTTTGAACAAATCAAGGTGAATAAATAAGTTTAATTTACTGTTAATAATAATTATAGGAACTTTAAATAAAAACAAATAGTTTTATTCACTTTTTGTCCAATCAGATTGTATAGCTGAATTTCTCTGTGACACATATTAATAAAATGTATTAACTTCCTGAAAAAGGTAATCTAGCTAGCTAATCTGACAATATTAAACCTATTCTGCTAATTAATTCTTGAGTGAAAGAAAACAAAGAAGTATTATTTAAAGGTAGTTTAGACATCTACTGCTACCAGATATCTTTTAATGTAATTATATAGTTTGACTTTAGAGGAGTGGGAGGTTTACTGGTAAAAACAAATAAAAGTTTGATGACTTTTGAAGCTGACAGCCGACGGTTGGCCTCTGAACTTCTCTGAGAGGCTTCATAGGAAGAATCTGCACCACGTTGACGATCATCCTGGGGATCTGAAACCAGAAGGGGACATTCATGCACTGAGATTATTTCTGCAGAGTGAAGAGTGGAGCTTTAAATGTCTGCATGGCCTCTTTCATTCTTCACAGTTTCAGTGTGATAGTGGAGGGGAAACTGTTCCTAGGAAAGCAAAAGAGAAGGGGGAGCATGAAGAAACTGTTCATTCAACAGAAGGATTTTTATTCGGGAGTTTTTATCAGTGAATAGTTTCTTAATTGTGTCAGTGAAACCCTCCTTTATGTTTTTCTATTTTTAGCCACGTTAGCGCCAGGTCGGCCTGTTGGTCGTGTGATGGTAGAGAGATGACAGGAAACCCCAACCTCTGGGGGCACTGGTTCTCAACCTTTCTGGTGTCAAGGACCTCCAAACTGATACACATCAGACCACAGACCCGTATTTGATCAGATGCAGACTCAGGGACCCTCATCTGACTCCAGATTTAGTTCCATAACTGTTTATACTGAAGATGATCAGGTTAACACGGGAATCCAAAGAAATACATTCTTTCATTAGGGTAACAGTTAAAATATTAACCACTGCTCTAGGGCACGCTTACATGTTAATGTACCAGAAGTCTGCATCTCTCAGTATTGTTAACTATAGCGGATCTTGACCTCCCCAATATGGCGACTGGGCTGATGTATGAGGTATCTACATTTCTATATCTATGGTGGAGGCCCTTCAGTTGAAGCATACTGAAGTTTTATGAAGTGAAGCTGTAGCTAATTAGGTGTCAGGTCTGACAATGTAGAGCTGATTCTGAAATCTCTTAAGACAGAATAAACCCTTTTGATTTAGGTCAACGCTCATTCATCCAATAACTTTGTTTCCTGGTGTGTGATGAGAATATCCAGCTCTTTAAATTTAGTGTCTGACCTTGTTTTAAGATATAAAATCTTACCTCGTTCATCATCAGGTCTAAAGCTTCTGTCATGTAATGAATGAAGTTGTCGGGGGAGTACAGCGTCTGCGGGGGAGGATCAGATTTAAATTCTGACATTATTTTTGTACACTTGTTCATTTTGTCTCTATTTGTAGGCTTGATATATCCAGTATACTTCACACTGCTACCACATAGTTAGAAGATAATGGTTTCCCATGAGTTTCATTTAATATTATGTAATGATATGGATAAAAAAAACCACACTGAATACTTTTTTAAAATAAAATGTAAAGAGTAACTACACATCAAGCAGAAATGCAGTGTTTCTCTGCTCTCTCTGGTTAAGAATTTCCCCTCAGACCACGCCCTACATCACCGCTGGGTGTGAACACAGGTGAGCTATGCTAGACCTGTCACCTCACCCAACAGCAAGAGTGGAGGGACACAGGAATGAACCAACTTGTAAAAGTACTAACAGCACACTGTAAAAATACTGATTGGCTATTCCTGTATAGTTATTTTTAATGCCTGCCACCGGGTGGGAACACTACCGCTTTTGTCCACAGGGGTCGCCAGAATCAACACAAAATAAAGGTTCCTTGTAGGGGAAACGTAAGTTAAAGTATTTATAATCAACAAAATGTACTTAAAGTATTAAAAGTACTTATATATGATATCATTAAATTATTATGACTCATGCTTTAATGTAAAAGCAGGATTTTACTGTTGCAGCTGGAGCTCATATTGAACTATTGACTAATGATTATTTTCATTATGGATTCATCTGCTGGTTGTTTTCTCCATTAATCCATTTATTGTTTGTAGAAGATCCTGAAAATAGTACATATACATATGTTTTGTGTGTACAAACAGAAGTAGAAAGTACTACCACTACTCTAAAATGTAGTGGAGTAGAAGTATAAAGTGGCATGAGGAGAAAAGACTCAAGAAACTTAAAATTTGTGCTGTAAATGTAATTAATTACATTCTACCAGTGAGCCTCTTACTTTGTTTTTACAGTAATCACAGATGTCGTTCATGCCGATCAGCATCGTCACCACCTTCCAGTCCTCTTGGAAGTTCAGACCCTAATAAAAAAGGTTGGCTCAGTTTGATGGTGAACGTCACACGAAGAGGGGAAATAAGATTATTTGTCATCTAATAACACTCACTGGGTAAGACTTGAACGTGTCTATCATGGTTCGTATCTGATCTGACACGTTTCTGTAAGAGAACAGACAAACACTCACAGTGCTGACTCATCACACTGACATCAATAAAACACTATTGTATGATTATTAAATCATTTGCAGCCGTAATTATGTTGATCTTTGAACTTCAGGGGAAACATTTTGCTGCATGATGAAAATTTACTGCACAGCTTAAAGCTACACTCTGTTATTTTTGTTATAGCAGCAAAAATCTCCAATTATTCCCCCAATTATTTGAAACTTGAAGAGACTAAAGAAGAAACAAAGGCCAAGTTGGGGCAAGAGACTTACAGCGTGTTGTGGCCCGTGATGGCGAAGTTGAAGCCGGTCTCGTTGACGGTCGTCGCGCTGCCATGTAAGGTCATCACGGGTGCTGGACCCAGCAGTTTGGGATTGAAGAGTTTAAAAATATCTGGACAACGAGATGATCAAACCTAATGTCAACTCATAGCTCTAATATATGTGATAATATATATCAGGGCCAATAAATTACTGCTCGATAATAATAATAATTTATCTTAAATTCTTATGATTTATGTTTGTGAAGTTTTTTTAAGGACTTTAGTAGAAAATATATGAACATTTGTGTGTATAAACTACAGACTATTCACTTAGTTTTATCAGGCCTTCTTGTTAACAAGCTGAAATAAACAGGTCTTAGTTTTAAACTCATTTATTGGAGTCAGAAATAATCTCAATTTCAGCCACAGAATTACAGATTGCTGCAGAAAAATGTAGGACAATGCTTCATTCATTAATTCATTCATTCATTCATTTATTAGCTCATTATCTAACTAGTTGAGGTCTTGATAATCTATTTTTTGGCTTCACAACTTGAAATAAGATTATTTTTATCTTTAAACAATCTCCTAATATAAACTAACTTACTTGCCAGTGTTATGACATTTTGATAAGTTCCATATCCTCCGATGCTGATCACAGAAAAAGGGAAAGGGACACAGTAATTAATAATCAATGATAATCATAATAATAATGTCATTAAATTAAAATGATAACACTTATAATGTAAGATAAGATAAAGTTAAACAAGGTCAGTGAACTTACAATCAGCAGCTTTTTGAGCAGAATCATCTTGTGATAACATTTAACAGGGTGTTGATATTTAAGTGAGCGTTGGAGAGTTGATTGGTTGTGTAAAACATTTAAGATGATCTCAAATGGAGCCTGGAATTTGGCTGCAGAACTGATTTACCTCCAGGAAACTTGGCGAAATTCGAAAGGAATCGCTAAAATGGTAGAACCGTTGGCACCAATAGCTGTCTGCAATAAAAACACAGACAGGAAATATTCTTAATGAAGAGAAACACTGTTGTATTCATGTTTTCATCATTACTACTACTACTAATAATAAGATTGTTTGGTTTCTGTGAGCCTGTAATGGTTTCCACTATCAGTTGTAATAGTGTTTTATGGAAGATACAGTTTCTATTTCTCAGTATTTCTGTAGAAATAACATTTTACTCACAGTTAAAGAGTCTCCCAGCGCGGCGATGACTTTGACGTCTGCAGCTTTGACATATTCAACTAGAACAAACAAGGAAACAGTCAGAACAAAGACAACACACAAAGCAACATCACTGACCTCAGACACAAGTTATCTGTGAAAAGACTGACACACTATACTTCAGACATCAGTTAATATCAGGTAACAGTAACCTGAATTTCACTGATGTCAAACAGTTGATCTAACATTCACACATTAAACTCTTAGGTTCAAGGATTTAAAAGTCAGATATGAAGAAAAATAATCAATCAGCATCTATAAGCTATTTCAGTGGAGGTGTGTTGTTCTCAAATTAAAGATATTTAGACATGTTGGCTGTGTAAAAAGAAGAAAAGTAAGTAGTAGAAGTAAAAGTAAAAAAAAGTAATGGCATCAAATATATACTTAAAGTTTTCATTATGCAGAATGGACCATTTCAGATTTATTATATTATTGGATTATATTGGATTTTAATGTTGCAGCTGGTAAATGTGGAGCTAATTTTTTTGATTATTTTATATACTGGCGGGTAGTTTAATCTATATTAATATACCATAATGTATTAGTAGATTTATATTTTGTATTAGCAACAGGTAACAAGTAACTAATGTTGGTGAATACATGTAGAGGATTATAAGTATAAAATATCATAAAATGGAAATAACCAAGTAAAGTAAAGTACTATGTAAACTGTACTTAGTTACATTCCACAGCTAGATATTGAAAACATTTGGAAGTATTTAAATCATTAACTTATGTATTAATATAACAGTAGTGCAGTAAAAATGTAGAGAAATATTAGCAACAAAATGTACTTAATGTAGAAAAAGTAAAAGTACTCATAAAGCAGAGTGTCTACTGTCTACAATGTTATATTGTTATATTATTGGATCATTATTTATGTATTAATATATGAGCAGTACTTTCATATTGTTGTTGGTGAAGATGGAGCTAATTTTAAACTACTGCATATACTTTTTTATAGTTTATTCATATTTTATAAACTGATCATATATTTTATGTACGTAAAATCTTTATTTGTAAAGTAACTAGTAACTATAGCTCTTAAACAAATGTAGTAAAGTACAATGTGACTGTAATGTGGTGGAGTTAAGTATAAAGCAGCAGAAAATAGCTGCTTTCCACCACTGGATGCTGGTGAAGTGACACCGACCTGAGGAGGGGACGGTGGGAGACGGACTCATATCGGGGCAGCTGAACGGAGGATGAAGACGACGCTGCAGAAAATCTGTTCCAAAGACCTCCTGCAGGAAAACACACAGACAAAATCCCACTGATAAAGTGCTGAGTGATGTTTAAAGTGACTGCAGGGAACATTTTTCAGAAGCGACACATGAACTCTGGACAGTTTTTACTGCAGCATGTAGACGACCACTGGACACTGCTTTCATTTCACACACTGGACTCTAACAGTTCCCAAACTCCACACTGAACCACTCTTTCTCCTCTGGCTGCTGATGCTTTGATGTCTTTTGGAGTTATTGTTTCAGATTTGTCCATATTTTTTGGTTTTCGAAAGCCCTTTGGTTGTTTTAAAGTAGAATTTAGGTTGTTTTTAGGATGAAAACTTTCTACGTAAGTGTGTTAGAAATGCTATTCATGATTTGAAAATCATATTTATTATGGTTTTGTGGCTTTTCATATTTTATTTCCCTTATGTGATTATCGTCCTTACATCTGTGACTCATTGTTACTGCTGCCTCTTAATGCAAAATCAATCTCTTGCTGCCACACAAGATAAGAAAATGAGGAAAAAAGTGTAAAGTGGTTTAAATGAACCTCTTTAAGGTGTGGCAGCTATCAAAAGAAGAGCTATCACAACCTGCTCAGTGTTAATAATTAGAAACAACAGACTGTGCACACGTCTCATTAATTTTAAAAATCTGCAGTCAAACAATTAAATTCATAAATACAATATTGTTTGATAAATTGTGTCTAAAAGGTAGCTGCATCATTTTCTGACTCTGTAACTGAGTTCAGTGAGTCTGATATTAAATAAAATCTAAATGCACACACACTTAGCTGCACTATTTTCATACTCTCAGACTATTTCACAGTCAGTTTTGCATTATTAGTCATTTAACTTATTCGGGGTCACTGACAGTAACTTCAGTGTTAAAACCTCTGCTATCAAACTACAAATAGCTTTAACCAGATATTCCTGTGATCCAAATGTAATAATATAAATAGACTGGAACTAGACATTGACAGAAACAGCTGGTTTTGTTCTGTAAGCTCATGCAGGTTATACAGTGTTGAATGATTTAGATGGAGACAATACCTGGTTGATTCTTTCATCTTCTTCCCTTAATGTGTAGCCTGCAGAAGAAAATATATAAATAAAATAAATGATAAAGTTTGATCCAGATACAGGAGACTCAGATTCAGATCCACGCTGTAAACGAGCCGAGTAAAACATCAAATTAAAGTAAAAGAAATAGTTAAACATGAACCTGCTCACATCCTTACATGTTTTAACTCTTACCGTCTACATGAAATGTGGTAAAAATACAGACTACCAACAGCGCACAGAGCAACATACTGTCCTTCCAAAAAGAAAAACAAATAAAGAAAAAAAAATAAAGAGTTGTTGTGCAGGTTCGGAGCTACAATCAGGTTAAATAACCTTTGTAATGAACAAGAATTAACCTTATCTTTGACCTTTGCAGTCATTCGTGCAACCACAGCTCTCTGGGCAGTAATATACTGTAGATAACAGTAATTGCAATGGTCTTCAACTCTTCAACAATAATCCAGTACATCAGATGACTTTCAACAGGATGTAAATACCTGGAGGAATAAGATAAATTCAATCAGATAATAAACAAGGACTGTAACCAAATTAGCTTTGCTTAAAGTCTAAATCAAGTCAAGTGTAAACTGATATTGTAAAACTTATTAATATAACTAGTTTTTAATTAGAAATGACATTACATAGCACCTCCTAAGAAAACAGTATGCATCGCTTGTATTAGCTTTAATTCTATATGTTTTAAATCCTTTTTAATGTTTAATATTAAGTGTCATAGGTGCTTGTATGTCTCTGATCTATAGTAACCCTTCTTTTCAATACTGTATTTTATTATATGCACTTTAATGTTGTTTATTCTGCTTTCTTGACATTTTACAACACACAGACGTCAATCTGTGCCTCTTCCTGATAAATAAAGTCCTCCCAAACTATCTGTATTCCACCAATAACATGTTTTTACTGTGTCTGCAGTTTTCTGACATGACTACTATTTATGTTTTTATGCTTCGTTTTAGAGCTGGAGAAAGTAGGTGAAAGAAAGGTAAGAAACCATCCATATACACAGCTGTCAAATGTTGTTGTCGATATAATGAGGTAGAGGCCTTGTGTCCATTTCCTCCAATTTCTCTCAGTGTAGAACAAAATCTCCTGGAGGAATTCACTTGTAGTGCACATTTCTTAAAGCCGATATCATGTGTTGTATCCTGTGTCGGTGTTTTTAGACATCTGAATCAGTGGTTCCCAACCTGGGGGTCAGGACCCCTACTAGGGATCGCCAGAGTTTCACAGGGGGGCTCGAGAGGCCTTCTTGATTTTAAACAGTGTAAGAAAACTAAAAATATACACAGCAGGCCGAAATCTCAGCACTTCAAGCACTGAATTTGTCAATAAAAACAAGCCTATTAAGTATGATTGTTTAAAAAAACATGATACAGACAGAACATTTTATAAAAAGTCCCCTAAATATATTAAGATAACTAATTTCTTATGTAATCAGAGGAAATAATCAGCTTCAGTTCATTCAAATCGTTTGTTTTAGACAAACTTGCTGCAGTTATTGTGTTAATTATTTAGGTTCATTGTAGGCTACAGTTTATGAATTGTTCTGTACTGCTATTATTACGCATTGAATGAAATATCTATAAAATATTTCACTTTGTCGTCTCTGATCCAAATGACTCATTTGAGTGAGTTAGTCTCATTATATTTCAAACAGGAGTCAAACAGCAAACTCCTTTCTTTTTAAAATATATCTTTTATTTAAAATGATCTATAACTTTTTATTAACTCTTGAGGGGGGGGGTCATGACGTCATTATTGGGGTCACGTGGGGTTGACCTCAGGTGTGTGTATGTGTGTGTATGTGTGTGTGAAGGTAAACAAATGGACCCGGCGGCGGTTCGCGGTAGAAACATGCACAATGTGACCGAACCGCGCGGATTAAAGCGAGTAAAATGCCCGGATACAAGAGTAGATATAACTTACGTTTCTCTCCCGTGAGTACAAACTTTATTGTGAAGCTTTAAAGATGTTAAAAGTGGAAATAAAAACGAGCTAACAGCTAGCCGCGTCCGCATAGCATGGAGCACTTGCTGCGTTCAGGGTCCGTCGGGAATCTGGGCTGTCGTCGTCCTGGGAAAGTGGTAAACAAACATTGCGACTGTCAGCCGTAGTTTTCTAATAAACCCGGGTTAAATATAGTATAGTAGTAATATTTATAGTGCGGATAACACATGAACTCAGTTAACAACCTCTAAATATGAAGCTGTACATACTAACATTCAGATGATAGTAGAAATAGGAGCAAAATTATATAAATTAGTAGCATAAAAAGCAGATTCAGATGTGAGACTTTTGATTCTGAATAACTTATTTCTGTTGTATTATGGTCTGTGCTCCTGTGCTTTCTATTTTAATTCTGTTCTTCTTTGGCATTTTGAATCTTCTTTGATATATTTACCTCATGTAAACAAACAGATACAGTCATTCGTGTGGCCTGCTACCAAATGTGACAAAAAACCATCTAATAAAACAGCCGTCATTAAAACTTCATCTCATCTCAAAGGTGTATTTATTATCATCTATAAATGTTAGCTCTGAACACTTTACATGTAGCTTTCATGGCCTCAGCTGTAGGAAGCAGTGGTTTACGAGGAGCACCTGAATGCAGCAGGTAATCCTTTCTGCAGGATGTCTCTGAAAGTGGTGAAATATGTGTGCTTTACCTCCAGAGTCGCATCAAAAAGATCATGCAGAAGGACACAGAGGTGGGGAGGATTGCGATGGCGGTTCCTGTGATCATCTGTATCCTTTTAACGCCGCAGAGGTGTGTGTGTGTGTTAAAGTGCTGGGAGAAGTGATGCACAAAAGTAACTGCTCAGCACTCTGGAGGCGTAGCTGCTGTTGATTCAACTTTTCATCCATCCTCTCCTCTTTTTTTCCTCCAGCTCCTACATAAGGGCTCCTAAGCATGCTGGGAGTTGTAGTCTACAAACTACATGTATTTCTTTATTTTTACTGAAAGTTTAGCTGTTTTTAGTGTTTCCGGTCCGTAAACTCCAGTATGTTATTAGCAATGGAACTGAACATTTTCAAATATCAAATCCTACATTTAACCATTTTTATTCCATCTGTACTACTCAAAGTACGCATTACTTTCCCTCACAGTTAACTGTACATTATTATCAGGCTGGAAAAGTCTTTGACGCTGCATTGAGACCATCGTGGGACATAAAACACTCCACTGAAACCTGAACGGATGGATTTCCTCCAGGTCTTTCAGCTCTCTGAGGCTGTCTGTGTATTACATTGCTACTTTGAAATGAGGCATTAATTAAATAATTCAACACCCTGCAGGTGATACAATGTGTTTCCTGCTGTAGTCCTAAAGGAAGGCCAGTGTTGAGA